CTGTGAAGGTTCTCAGTCATCCAGGTCATCGTAGTCAAAGGAGCTTGCAAAGAAAAGACTTCTTTAAGTTACTTGAAGACGTTTCACCTCTCATCTGAGAAGTTTCTTCAGTTCTAAGGGTCAATGGTGGAGAGTCCCAGATTTAAACCTAGTGGGAGTTTCCCCCCAGAGAGGGACAAAGGACCCCCTGGTGATCCTCTACCTAATCACATGAGCCAAGGTGTGAAACTGGGTGTGGGTCCCAATCAGCCAGGGTTTCGGGTGAGCTCATTGTGAAACCTGGCCCCACCTTATCATACCTCCACTGTTGCACGTTAATGCTATTTTTAATGACAGTACAAAGTGATGAAAAAATCCCTGGGAGGAAAAAAGAAAGTTTGTATATATGTATGTATATAACGTGGCTGTAGCGTAGAACGTAGAGCAGGTCATCTTCTAATTGCAAGGATTTGGGTACAATCCCTGGGTACTAGTCTACTATGTCAAATATTCTTGGGTAACCCCAAGTTTCTCCCAAATGCATCTATTGGAGTGTGAATGAAAAATGGAAAGCACTCAAGCATAGAAAAAAATGCTTGTGCCAATGGAGGAAGTTGTGTAAAATCCTTTGAGTGCTATTTAAGAACCAGTCCATTTACCATTTATGTACATGTACATACATACATTTCAAAAGTCTTTCTCAATATTTTCAGTACCAAGACTCGGGTATCATTTTTTCATCATTGTCCTCTTTCAACGTAAATATGAATGTCACGATTTGTTGTTCGGGTTTGTTTCGCTGTTAAATTTTGTCCCAAATGGTTTCAAAAATGTTACAATAGCCACCTTTGAACTCTTCACGTGAGACGTAGGAAAACAAATTAAGGCCAAAGAAATAACCAGGATTCTAACACTGATTCATCTCTTGTGCAGAGACACACAGCTCAGCTCAGAGAGGAGCTCCTGAAGCTGCCCTGCCCTGACGGACTGGAGCCCGACGGTGATGAGTTTACAGAGAAGAGCAGCGCCCTCATCCTCAAAGAGCTACCCAGTCAGGACACAGAAACGCCCGGTGGCAGTCAGGACAGCCACTGCAGTGAGGGCCAGCTATGAGCCCTTCCCACCTGCCCCCTTCCTTACCCTTCCAGCATCTCCAGCCCTTACCCTCCTCTTCCTTATCATCTTCCTCCTCTTTCATAGACTTGATGGCTTCAGAGCACGAGCCATCACTTTGTCCATATTTGTATGTAAAGGTCTAAATAGAATAGCAGAGAACGAGGGGACGCGAAGGCGACAAGAGGAACTCTGATCTATGCTACGCCTTTATTAAAGAGTTGACAGAAACTTTTATTTACCTGTAAAGGAGTGTAAACATTTTGTGCTTTTTCCAATTGTGAAATAACCACTGATTGGTATGTTATTAAACTTGTTTATGTATACACGGCAGAGGAAGATTACAGATTATATAAGGGAACTACCTTAAGAGAAGAATGTTTACTGAATGTTCGTTTCTTTTTCTTTTGGACTGTTAGAGCAAGAACAGTTGTAACCAAGGATATACTGGTCTTTAAGGATCCTTAAAAAAAACACAAAAAAACGCACACACAGGTAACACAATCCGAGATTTTTAAAAAAGCCCCTCTGCTCATGCTCGTCTGCGTTCTCTAGGATCATATCCACTTGAATAAGGTTCAGATGGACATTCTTAAATGCTATGTTATCCCTTTTACAGGCTCCAAATTAAAAGCACCATGCTCTGGATAAACATTTGTTGCCTCTCAGAACTCCTCCATGACCGCTTTCCATCGACATGACTGTAGATCACAGCAAGACTGCGTCAGAGCCACAGGGGCAATGTACTTTGAAGGCTTTTGCATGTGTATGTGTGTTTTCTGTGCGTGTGCAACAATCCCCAGTGAGATACAAAGCTGTGATGTGCCTTTGATCTACACCATACCACCAAATGCTCCCAACTGATTTTACTGATTTCTTTTGCTATTTCTACAAAATTAAGAATATTCTGCTCCATTGACATAAAAGAAACTGCTTTGATCTTTTTTATGTTGAACTCCAGTGAACAAAAAAATGCACTTTCTATTTTACTCACTCTTTAGGGCAGTCACATTCTCCTTTTGCTAGGACATTAAATGGAGCTTGAAAGTATGTGACTGACTGAATGCTTTTTTTTTTTCCTCTGTATTTCCCAGGACATCTCTTACTCGAAAAGAGCGAATGATTTAGAAAGCGTGTTGAGGGAAAACAACTGGAGACCATGTCGAAGAGGGAGACTGAGATTCTCAGAACATTTTATGAAAACTTGGGGATTTGAGTAGCTTACTCAGGAAAACCTGGGCTGAGATCCAAAAAGCAGGAATTAAGAGAAGAATTTTCAAATGAAACCTCCAGTTCTTCTCTACTAGGGTATCTTTGCCTAATTTAGTTAACAATTACAGGTTGGTATGCAGACTTGTTGATAGGTTTGACTGAAAAGTCATTGAAGAGAGAAGTTTGAAAAATCAAATGAAAAAAGAGGAACTGACTGCAGCACATGCAAGGGTGTAGCTTATGTTACTGGCTGGTTTTGACACTGCTCTGTGGTGATCTGGGCAAGTCCAGCTCTTAATAGCACCTCGCCAGGGGTGCACAACTCCCTGCTGTATGTGCTATAAAGCTATTGGTGCAACTCCTGGGAAAATTAGGTCATTAGCAAGAGTATAGAACTTGAGTGCATGCTGAAGTGGCAACCCCTAACACCACTCAAGTAAATGTAAGTGTTTGGAAAAATCTACTTCTAAAAGTACTTTATTGCACTATGTTCATTCACTCATGAGCTGCTGTAACATGAATCAAATAGCTGAATGGCCACCTCAGCATGCACTCAAGTTCTATAGAGTCTTCCTAATGGCTTAATTGTATTTAGATGTGTTGCAACAGGGACACATGGAAAAGTTTCAGGCCTTCGAGGACTGGAGTTTAAGACCCCTGATATAGAAGCTGATACTGCCTACATTTAATCTGAGCAACACACCTTGTGTGCTCAACAATTAATAATACCAAGTTTGGCAACTAGCTTGCAAATGGTTCTTGAAGCACCTCTGAGACTCTTTCAGGTCCTGTTTGGAGGATTTTGGTCCATCCTCTTTGCTAGCACTGGCTGATAAGAAATTGGAGCTCCTTGTGTGCCTGTACCTCTAAGGTCTTTCCACAGATATTCAGTGATGTTTCGTTTGAACGATGTGAGGATCAAGGTGAAACCTATTGTTTAAGATCATTATTCTCTTCCATCTTCAGTATTCCAGATCTTGCAAAGTATGTTTCCAAAATTTGCTGCTGTTTTATCAAATATCTTCTTCGGTCCATCACTGATATGTTGAGAAGCATAAATTTCTGTGTCAGCTCAGTAACTCTAGGACCAAAAATGCATCAGACCATAAAATTTTCTTCTGCTGGTTCTTACATTAAAGTCATATTGTTCAGGTATGGCTGTATGGTAGAATCGCCATCACTGTGGTTTCTGATTTACTTTATTAGCAATTCTGTAAGCAGTTTTCTCTTCTTGACCTCCACTGTTGCACGTTAATGCTATTTTTAATGACAGTACAAAGTGATGAAAAAATCCCTGGGAGAAAAAAAGAAAGTTTGTATATATGTATGTATATAACGTGGCTGTAGCGTAGAACGTAGAGCAGGTCATCTTCTAATTGCAAGGTTGGTGGTACGATCCCTGGGTACTAGTCTACATGTCAAATATTCTTGGGTAACCCCAAGTTTCTCCCAAATGCATCTATTGGAGTGTGAATGAAAAATGGAAAGCACTCAAGCATAGAAAAAAATGCTTGTGCCAATGGAGGAAGTTGTGTAAAATCCTTTGAGTGCTATTTAAGAACCAGTCCATTTACCATTTATGTACATGTACATACATACATTTCCTGTACTCTGTTGTGACACTCTGTATATGGGCCCAGCTTGGTTCTTACATGCTGCTACTATGTGTTGAGCAGTCTCCAGGGCACAGTCTCCACATCTGTTGGCTATGGTAGACTCCTGCCTCTGTGGATCTGGTGCTTGGGATGTGTTCTTGTGCTGCCATGTTCAGAGCCTGAGCAGTGTCCTTCAGGCCAGCCTGAACACTGTTAAAATGCCCTGTCATCAGTGCCCAGTTTACATGAAACTGTTTTTGTACAGTAATTTATCTTTGATATGAATAATCAAGAATTGACACTCACATGCAAAATATATTAAACTTATTATTTTTATCAGTAGTAGTAGTGTTACTGGGGAAAAAATAGTTATAGTGGGTGCCAAGCAAGTGTACAGTTCACTTATGTCCTTTGTTCACTTATGAGAGTCACTCTAGGTGGACCATTGGAGAACAAGCCATTTATCCTCCCAATTACATGTGATCTGGACTGAAAATCAGGGGCAACGGGTATTATGGAGTGATGAATCCAAATGTAAGAATATTGGTTCAGTCCATTAACAATATGTTCAGAGAGAGATCCAGCAGTGAGTGTCTGCAGCCATCTGTAAAACACCGGAGGTTCTGTCATGTTTTGAGGCTCCATTTCAGCCAGTGATGTTGGAGATCTTGTCAAAATTAATGGAATTATGAATGTTAAAAAGTACTGTCGGGTTTTGATCCATCAAAAGTCATCTGGAAAGCATTTGATTAACAAGGGCTCCATTCTTCAGCATGAAAGTAATGCCAAACGCTGTCAATGCTGTAGAAAGACACAATGCAACACTAGCAGTCCACACCTCAAATTTATTAAAGCAGTATGGAATCATGTCAACACAAAATGAAGCCAACATCCAACGAAGAGTTTTACCATATCCAGATTTAAAGGTAAGGAGTGTTCAGTGTGTAGGTCCTTATGTTTTTAAATTACATGAGACATTATGGGATTTTCTTTCATATAGTAAAACGTGCTGCAAATCAGACCGAGGTAGGCTAACTGTTATTTAAAGGCTGCATGAAAATCCTCTGCAGGTTAGTGCAGGATGAACAGGTTAGTTTGCTGCACTGTGATGGATTTACACTACATTGGTACACAGTGCTTTGGTTTCATGGTGAGAGTAAGGTTACATCAAGTGTTGCAGAGACTAATTTGGACTTTTAATGATGATTATTAGATTAGGACCATTGACCAGGACAACTTATGAAACATCTGCTGACATCTGGTTGAATTAAGCTGTGTACATGGACAAAGAGCAACAGGTCAGTTGATCACAGCCTGTACACTAAGAAAATCTACTGGGGTTTGGGGTTATGATTCTTTTCCTCACACTGAGCCATTACAACCAGTTTAGTGTTCCCCACGTGCTGAATCCCACCCGTTTGAGGCATAGTTACCCTCTACAACGTAGGCAACAGAAAATAGAGAGATGTTTATTTTCCTTTTTTTCTTCTGAGGCAAGCTTAGTATAATTAGAATTTTTAAAAAGTTAGACTAAAGTTGTAGTCGCATATACTGATATTATTCTATTGTTATGTTAATATAGTAAAAGGTTCAGTTAGCTTTACACAAAAATACAGGCGTCCTCCAAAGAGATCCTACTTTCGTACTTTGAGTGCATTTCAGAGCCTGTAATTTTTTACTTGAGTAAAGAAGTTAATTGAGTATTTTAACTTAATATTAGTATTTGTACTTCCACTTAAGAACAGAATATCTGTAACTGAAGAAAGAACACCATGCCATTTGATGTCATGTATCTTGATGATGTGCCACTGTCATCAGAGGCACCTCAACTAAACAATTTTCGCTTGGTAAATGTTTTATTTTGTTTTAGTAATTTAGTAATTTATTTGTCTGATTATTTAAAATAATACATGAAATTGCACCTTGGGATTTTTATTTATGTAATTATTTCTGCAAGTATATCTTAGCTTTACTCTAAATATGAATAAACATGATGAGAGAATTTGTGGTGCTAGTTTTCATTGCACAGAAATAGTAAGAAATATAGTACGATACTGTGAAGCAGCTGAAAGCACATCGCTAAGGATCTAAATGTTCTTACAAATGGAATGGATGTGTTAACCAAAAAAGTGCAGTACTTCATGTATAAACCCTTTCAAACCTAGAATCTTTCGACTATAGTGGGGCCCAAAACCTGCACGAATATGAAGCTAAATAAGGAGTTTGAGCAGTAAAACAACTGCACACAAAGGTTTGGGCAAATTGCTTATTTTGTTGAATCTTTTCAAAGTGGAATGAAGCAAATGCAATCCCTGCAGCAAACATAAATTAAAAATGAGCGGTATATTAAATTTTAATATAATTCAAGTCACATGAAAGATATGATTTTTAAAATTTGCAACATTTCTTTTGTGACTGAATATGTAAAATTAAGATCAGGACTCTGTCTGGAATCAGTTGATATGTCTGTGAAGGTTCTCAGTCATCCAGGTCATCGTAGTCAAAGGAGCTTGCAAAGAA